GTCTTGGTGCTCATGAGAGAGGATGGGATTTTTCAGGAGTATTTAAATGGCCCAGGAGCCAAAGACTCACTCATGGTGACGTCCCAAAGTGGGCACTTCAGAAGAGCTGCTCCTTCAATGTGAAGAGTGATGGCTCACAGTACTCAGGTACACTCTATCCCACTGTCCATGTCTCCAACAAAGATGTTTAACAGCACTGGTCCCAGTATGGACCCCTGAGGAACACTACTCGTTACTGGCCACCAACTGGACATTGAGCCATTGACCACAACCCTTTGAGTGCAGCCATCCAGCCAGCTCCTTATCCACCGGGTGGTCCATCCATCGAATCCATTAGTTTCCAATTTTGAGACCAGGATGTCGTGCGGGACAGTGTCAAACGCTTTGCACAAGTCCAGGTAGATGACATCTGTTGCTCTGCCCTTGTCCACCAAGTGTGTGGCAGTATCATAAAAGCCCACCAAATCTGGTGAAGCCATGTTGGCTGTCTCCAATCACCTCCTTATTTTCCATGTGCCTTAACAGAGATTCCAGGAGGATCTGCTCCATGATCTTGCCAGGCACAGAGGTGAGACTGACTGGCCTGTAGTTCCCTGGGTCTTCTTTTTTTCCTTTTTTGAATATCAGGGTTATGTTCCCCTTTTTCCAGTCTGCGGGGACCTCACCAGACTGCCATGATTTCTCAAATATGATGGAAAGCGGCTTAGCAACTTCATCCGCCAGCTCCCTCGGGACCCGTGGATGGATTTCATCAGGTCCCATGGACTTATGCACCTTCAGGTTCCTTAAGAGGTCTCGAACCTGATCTCGTACTGTGAGTAGTTCTTCATTTGCAGAGCCCCTGTTTTTGCCTTCAAATTTTGTAGTGTTCTTCCTATAGAGTTCCTCTGCAGCAGTAGCTACAAGGTCCATCTATGCTACATGAAATAAGGTTTTAGCAAGGCGGGGGGAGGTCATCTCTTCTCCCAAGGAACAGGTGGTGGGACAAGAGGAAACAGCCTCAAGTTGCACCAGAGCAGGTTCAGGATATTAGGAAAAAAGGATATTAGGAAAAATGTTTACACTTAAAGGGTTATTAAGCCTTGGAAGAGGCTGCCCAGGGCAGTGGTGGAGTCGCCATCCCTGGAGGCATTTAAAAGCCAGGCAGATGTGGTGCTGAGGGACATGGGTCAATGGTGGGTTTGGCAGTGCTGGATTGATGGTTGCACTCGATGATCTGAACCTCGACGATTCTATTATTCTATTTTATGATGCCCTGTAGCTTTAGGGACATTGTCCCCATCATTATTCCCACGCTACTATAGAGAAATAAACCAAGTTGTCTTTTTTACTCTTGCCCATATCAACTCTTTAAGTAGATGTTTGCAAAGAAGCCTTTAAACAACAGGGATCACTGAGCCGCAGCAGAAGGGTGAGCAGATGACAGTGTACATCCCTTCCAGTTTTCCCCTCTGGTGCCAGATTCCCCTGCTGTGGGGTTGGTTGGGCCGCACACCGCACTGTACTGTCCTCTTGTCCTGTTTTGGTTGGGACCAACGGGCGAGCAGCACCCCTCAGCCCTGGCTCTCCCACGGGGAGCTCGACGGCACAGAAGTGTCAGCTGAAATGCTCTAACAAAATACCCAAATAAACCCAAACCAGGGGGGATAATGAGATGTGCAGTTCGAAGCAAGGCATTCGGAGATGTAAACAGCATTTTTAGTTTAAAGTGGTTAAGGTCATAAAAGGAGACTGGTTTAAAAGGGCCTTTCATGTAGCAAATTAGTATTAGTTTAAAGAACAAGTTAAAGAATTTATTTCGTATTCATAGCTCTCAATGCAGTTTGCATTTATTGGTCTCTACGTGCACCTTCTCACTCAAACACTTCTCTCTGGCCATTTATTCAGCACACAATCTAGTGCCACGCACCATCTCCATGCAAGGGGGTTCCTTCACTGGGCGTCAGTGTCGCACTGACATTAAAATACTGTGTCTATTGTGAGTGACCAGAATCCATACAGGGCACACGGACAAAATCTGAGCTTTGACCAACCTGTCAATAAAAAAGTGTCAAGAACGTGTCAATAAAATTTTATCAGGCTCTCTTACAAGATTTACAATTTTCAGATATTTTATTTTTTAATTGTTTTTTTTAGGGCAACCAATTGTAATAACTCAGAAAATTCACCGTGCCCGCCCTGTACAGCCATGCGGAGCCTGGAGAGGAGGGAAGGCAGGAGCCAGCCCTCGGGAAGCAGCACCAGTCACTCCACCTGGGCACCAGTTCTGCTGGGGGGCATCAGGCAGGAGAACTGGTGGAGGTCAGCAAGCAGGCCAGAAGTCCTCCTCTCTGCTGGTGGGCTCATCGTTTCTCCATGATACCTCTTGGTCATTATGCTTCTATATTTATTTGGGGGAAAAGAGGACCAAGAACAATCTGTCTGCACTCCTGTGTGTTATGGAAAAAACCCTTCCTCGCGGTGACAACGTGTAACGGGATAGTTGTTCCACAGCTGTGTGGAGCATTAAACAGCCCTTAGGCAGCATCTCCCAGAGGTTGGTCGGTGCTTTCCACAGGGAGCCCTGGCCGGGTGACACCAGCCCTGATTTACCACCAGCACCCACCACCCAGCAGCTGGGAATGGTGGTGCCAGGACCTTGCGGCCAAAGCCCTCCATGATTTAATAAACACTGGGTACAGAAATATTTTCAAAGTGCTTTTTCACCTATATTTAACAGCAGGATGTAACGCAGTGAAATGACCATCGCATTTTACCACACCCGGTGACCAAAGCAACCGCTTGTTGCAGCAGCAGAACTATTAAACGTGGTCCTGAAGCTCAAAGCCCAGGTGGCAGGAGGTGTCATGGGTCTGCACTCACCGGTTGTGTTACATGTGCAGTTCTTCACTCAACGTGACCTTCAGGAGAGTAACTTAAATTAAATAAAATAAAAAATGGACCCAAGGAGACCCCCCTGCCCTCTGTGCTGGGGGGCAGGGAGAAAAGCAAAACCCCCGTACACCTCCTGGCTGCACCCAGGGAGCTAAAAGGGGAGTGGGGAGGGACTCTGGATCAGGGAGGGGACTGATGGGATGAGGGGGAAGGGTTTGACACTGAAAAAGGGAGCTTTAGATTAGATATGAAAAAGAAACTCTTTGCTGTGAGGGTGGTGAGAGCCTGGCCCAGGTTGCCCAGAGAAGCTGTGGCTGCCCCATCCCTGGAGGGGTTCAAGGCCAGGTTGGAGGGGGCTTGGAGCAACCTGGGCTGGTGGGAGGTGTCCCTGCCCAGGGCAGGGGGTGGGACTGGGTGGGCTTTAAGGTCCCTTCCAACCCAAACCATTCTGTGATTCTATGATTTGGAGGAGCAAAAATAAGGGAGGAGCAGGCTGGCAGGAGATTTGCACAGCAGAGGAAGGAGCAGAAGCCGTGGGGAAGATGGGATGTCCCTGGGGGCCGGCAGCCCTGCTCAGACCCTGGCCAGGCCATGGCCACTGCTGGCCCTGGGGTCCCCCATGGCTTGACTGGGACCCATCCCATTTTACATCGTGGCCTGTGATTGGGAGCACTGAGCAGATCTGTGGCACTGCTGTTATTTTTGGGGTGCTCCCTGCGAGCTGGTGTGGAGGATGCTCTGTGGAGATGCTGAGGCCCATGGCAGGGACCACCCCTCACTCTCCTCATCCTGCATCAGCCCCAGTTGCCTGCGTTGGGTGGCCTCAAGTGGGGACCACTCACATCTCGAGTTACAGAATCACAGAAACCAGCGCCCGTGGGGCACCCACGGCTGCAGCTCCTGGAGCCTCTGGGTGCAGGACGTGATGGCACCAGCTCCTTCCCAGCAGGTCTCCTGGCTGGAGTTTCTGCAGGTTCTCCAAGATTTACGCCACTTCCCGGCATTTCCTCGTCATTTGCCCACTATCTGAGTTTCACACACGCTGGCAGATCCCCAGTGCTTAGGAAGTGTTTCAGCAGAGGTTCTGGAGAAAAGGAAGGTGTGTTCCATGTTCTTCTCTCCCAACCCTGTCCCCCGGAGCGCTGCCCATCGCCACCAGCTCCTCCCGGTGCCGCAGGACGGGGGCAGGCTCAGCAGCCCTCTTCAGGCTCTGCAAGCAAACGTAAGGGCTGAAGTGCTGCTGGAATTCACATTCAGTTACATGAAAAAAATAATCCCCCCCAAGACGTGATATTCCAGCACATCCTTCCCCTGCCCCCCCGGGTACTGCCTCTCTCTTACCTCCTGGTTAAACTCTTCTGTTTTCTACAGCTCCGGCCAGTGCGGGCAGCAGGCAGCGGCTGTAAATCCACATCAGCAGCCACAATAACCCCTGGACACGGCATCATAACCTCTGCCACCGGCGTGACCGAGCTGGGGGGCAGTGAGAGGGATGGCAGCGTCCCCTGAGTGCCTGCGGAGAGGTGGCAGCAGCACCGACAAGGAGACTTCCCTCAAAACTAATCTGCTGGGGGAGAGCAGCGGCCATCCCGTCCCCTCTTTCCCCAGACAGGCTGGGAGAGGTGGGAGGTTCAGCCTGGAGAAGGCTCCAGAGAGACCTTAGAGCCCCTTCCAGTCCCTCAAGGGGCTCCAGGAAAGCTGGGGAGGGACTCTGGATCAGAGAGGGGAGCCATAGAACAAGGGGGAACAGTTCTACACCAAAAGAGGGGAGATTTAGGTGAGATCTGGGGAAAAACTTCTTTGCTGTGATGGTGGTGAGAGCCTGGCCCAGGTTGCCCAGAGAAGCTGTGGCTGCCCCATCCCTGGAGGGGTTCAAGGCCAGGTTGGAGGGGGCTTGGAGCAACCAAGGTGCTCCCTGCCCAGGGCAGGGGGTGGCACTGGATGGCCTTTAAGCTCCCTTCCCACCCAAACCATTCTATGATTCTATGATTCATCTTCTGCACGGGACACCCGAGCCCCTCAGGTTCATAGAATCAACAGCACGAACACACCAGCACCAGTGCAAAGTAAAATGAGAGCAAAGGCCCCAGGCAGCGCTGCAAATAAAAACAATCAAAAGGCGGAAAGAAGGCAAAAATATGTTAGTATTTATTAAAATGTGTTTTAATAAACCTTTCCCTTATGGTTGGTTCTTGGAGTGAGGCCAGCCCATCACTGCCATCGTAAGACCAGGAGTCACCGACCAGGAACAAGGGCCGGGATGCAGCAAGTAGAAAAACTACAAGAAGAAATTCAATTGCCATCTCTGGAAATCAGTACTTGGTTCCCACCATTTTGTGGGAAAACGTTCTGGGGTGGGAAGTGCCAGGCTCCTCCGGGGCTCGCTGCGCAGCGCTGGGCACAGGAGCATTGTCCTGCCTCCTCCCGGCCCCGCAGGCTGCCAACCCGGGCAACAGCTTTCAAAAAACGCTATTTAAAAAGGGATTTTGGCCACAGTTGCCCAAGTGAAGTGACCACCGTGGAGCTTCATGCAAAATGTTTTTTTGTAAACATTTAAACCGTTTGTAAACAAGGTTTCATAACTTGGCAGTTGGACTTGATTTTTGTTGGTTTTCCCCCAGAGCAGGCTGCTGTGCTGGGGCTGCCCCCCCCTCACACAGCGCAGCCCGAGCGGGGTCAGAAGCACTTTCTAGTCTGAAACATCATAGAGGAGGAAGACGTGCACGAGCCCATCGCTCTCATCAGCCTAATTCCCATTTATTTCACCTCTCCCCACTGTGTTTTATTAGGGATCAGGATGCTCATCTTTTATGAAGCCCAAGAAGCCAGAAGTTCACTGAGTAAAAGAAAGTTTCCAAGTGTTTGTAACTTTTCTCTCTCGATTTGCTGCGAGCCTGTTATGAAACAGAAGACAGCGTATAAATAAAGGGGAATTGAACGTTAGAGGACCACGACTCTGATGGAGACACAAAGCAAAAGACGAGGTTGACTAGAAATGGCACTTGGGGACAGGATTCTCGGAGCTGGGCAGGGAAGGTGGCAAAATCCTCCGTGACCACTGAGATGTCACCCCAAGACACAACCCCGATGCATCCTCTGAAAAGGTGGATGAAAACCAAGCCTGATCTGCCTCCCTCCTGCCCAGCAGCAGCAGTGAGCCCAGCCCGAGCCATGGGTCAGGGTTTCTGCGCTCACCTTGTCCCCTCTGGGAGGCTCTGGGCACCCATGGGTGCTCTGCCTCCAGGCTGGCACCCCTGGGAGCCTCCTGGCTCCAAGGCCACCTTCCAGCTGCTCAGTGTCCTCTTGGCTGGTTCCTCTGCCCCCATCCCATCCCGTCCTGTCCCATCCCGTCCTGTCCCATCCCGTCCCCACAGCAGCAGCCACACAGATTCTCATTCATTTCCCTGCCCTTTTCCCTCAGTTTAGCTCTTAACCAGAAACCAGGGCACACCCTCAGTCATTTATCTCACAAAATACACCAAACTAAGGACAGATTCCAATCCCGCAGTATTTTCATAGAATCACAAAATGGATTTGGTGGGAAGGGACCTTAAAGCCCATCCAGTCCAACCCCCTGCCCTGGGCAGGGACACCTCCCACCAGACCAGGTTACTCAAAGCCCCGTCCATCCTGGCCTTGAAAATACAGAAATATACCTCTTCCTGCCCAAACCCCTGAATTCCTCACGGCATTAGCATCCTCTACTCGGGTACCAAATAAAACCAAACACTATTTAGCTCTTACCTGCTGCTTTGCCGTGGGAAGGCAAAGGGCCTGGAGAAGGGCTCAGGAGCTGCTCGGTCTCCTCCACCTGCTCCAAGGGGAGGGGTCTCGGGGCAAAACCCTCAGGTGGGCTGTGTTGGCGTGTGCTGCATCCCCCCCCTCCCTGCCTCCGCGTCCCCGCCGTGCTGGGCCAGGCCATGGCAGGGTGAGGTTCTGTGGTTGGGGTGAAGGTGTAGGATGAGGCAGGAGTGAGGCTCAGGGAGCTGAGGAGCATCAGGGGAGACCCACGGCCCCTCGGGGTTCGGAAGGGACGACTGCAGGCACTCCTGAGAGAAGGGTGTTGTCCCCATAACTCCTCAGATAAGGAGGAAAAAAAAGTGTCACACAGAGCCCCCCAGGCTCGGGCAGTGCCCAGAGGAAGGGAGCAAATCCTGCTGTCACCACGGGCAGCAGGAATGGGGCTGCCAGTGGCCTCGCTGCAGTGATCAAGCAGATTTAAGCAACATATTTCCTTTTAAACATCAGTCTGTTAGGGAGTTACTAATGCAAAACTACTTCTTCCTTTTTATTAATTTGCAGCAGTCATGGTTAGAGCTGGGGGTGCCAGAACCCACCCCAGGGCTCAGGGGGTGCATCCCTGCGTTTGGGGCACCCCCAGACCTTCACACCGCCCCCGGGGGAGCTGCTGCTGCTGGGGCCTTCACCCACGGGTGGGACCAATGTGTCGGGGACGGGGGACACCGGTGGGACACTGACATGGGGAACCATCCCACTCCAACCCCCTGCGCGGCCCTGCCAGCCCCCGGGAGAGCAGTACCCGGTGGGGACCGGGCGTCCCAGGAGAGGGGCAGCAGAGGCCGGGGGTGTCACCGGTCCCGCTCCCACCAGCCCTGACCCCGCGGGGAGCGGGACCGGCCTCGGCTCTGGCTGTTCCCCGGCCCCGGACAGGGTGACCCACCCCGGGAGCTGCGATCTGCCTCCCGCCTGGAGAATTACGCCCTGAAGCGCTGACGGCACCAAAGAGGTGCCCACGGTCTCGCTTGTCACCTCCTCGCAGCACCAGGGCCACGGCTGCGCTGTCCCCTTCCCCGTCCCCGCCACCGCCGGGGGCTCCGCTCCCCGGGGGCCACCAGATCCCCTCGCGGGCGGGTGCGGGAACAGCCCCCGGGCTCTTGCTGGTCTCAGGGCTCACCCGACCCGGGCACGCCGCCCGCTCCGTCGGGCTGTTTGCGGAGGGGCTGCCGGGCGGCGGCTGCTCGGGCCCCCGCACCCCCCCGCCCGTGACGCATCATCCAGCGACGCCGCCAGCGCCCGCGCAGCCGCCGGCCCGCGGGGAAAATGGTCGCGCCGCCTCCTCGTCTCCGCTCGGAAGGGGGTGAGCGGCCGCGGCCCCTCCGCCTCA